CAACATTTATATTCACACCCACACTGGAAGCATAATTTTCCCAAATGTTGTCTTATAGTGTTGGTCAACATTTCCTAAGTTTGGCTTGACGGACAGCTGCGGTGGTGTCTCGTTTTGATGGGCAGCTGTGGTGGTGTCCCGTCTTGATGGGCAGCTGCGGTGGTGTCCCGTCTTGATGGGCAGCTGTGGTGGTGTTCCGTCTTGATGGGCAGCTGTGGTGGTGTCCCGTCTTGATGGGCAGCTGTGGTGGTGTCCCGTCTTGATGGACAGCTGTGGTGGTGTTCCGTCTTGATGGACAGCTGCGGTGGTGTCCCGTCTTGATGGACAGCTGTGGTGGTGTCCCGTCTTGATGGACAGCTGTGGTGGTGTTCCGTCTTGATGGACAGCTGTGGTGGTGTCCCGTCTTGATGGACAGCTGTGGTGGTGTCCCGTCTTGATGGACAGCTGTGGTGGTGTTCCGTCTTGATGGACAGCTGTGGTGGTGTTCCGTCTTTATGGACACAGCTGCGGTGGTGTCCCGTCTTGATGGACAGCTGTGGTGGTGTTCCGTCTTGATGGGCAGCTGTGGTGGTGTCCCGTCTTGATGGGCAGCTGTGGTGGTGTCCCGTCTTGATGGACAGCTGTGGTGGTGTTCCGTCTTGATGGACAGCTGCGGTGGTGTCCCGTCTTGATGGACAGCTGTGGTGGTGTCCCGTCTTGATGGACAGCTGTGGTGGTGTTCCGTCTTGATGGACAGCTGTGGTGGTGTCCCGTCTTGATGGACAGCTGTGGTGGTGTCCCGTCTTGATGGACAGCTGTGGTGGTGTTCCGTCTTGATGGACAGCTGTGGTGGTGTTCCGTCTTTATGGACACAGCTGCGGTGGTGTCCCGTCTTGATGGACAGCTGTGGTGGTGTTCCGTCTTTATGGACACAGCTGCGGTGGTGTCCCGTCTTGATGGACAGCTGTGGTGGTGTCCCGTCTTGATGGGCAGCTGTGGTGGTGTCCCGTCTTGATGGGCAGCTGTGGTGGTGTCCCGTCTTGATGGGCAGCTGTGGTGGTGTCCCGTCTTGATGGGCAGCTGTGGTGGTGTCCCGTCTTGATGGACAGCTGTGGTGGTGTTCCGTCTTTATGGACACAGCTGCGGTGGTGTCCCGTCTTGATGGACAGCTGTGGTGGTGTCCCGTCTTGATGGGCAGCTGTGGTGGTGTCCCGTCTTGATGGGCAGCTGTGGTGGTGTCCCGTCTTGATGGGCAGCTGTGGTGGTGTCCCGTCTTGATGGGCAGCTGTGGTGGTGTCCCGTCTTGATGGGCAGCTGTGGTGGTGTCCCGTCTTGATGGACAGCTGTGGTGGTGTTCCGTCTTTATGGACACAGCTGCGGTTGTGTCCCGTCTTGATGTGCAGCTGAGCTGCATGTAGCTCCCATGCCTTTCTCTCACTAGAGGGAATACTGATGATGTTTGCACCCGAGTACTTTGACCGTTCCAGAAAGGAGCCTTTTTTTTTTTTCTTCTTTTTCGAGACAGGGTTTCTCTGTGGTTTTTTGGAGCTTGTCCTGGAACTAGCTCTTGTAGACCAGGCTGGTCTCGAACTCATAGAGATCCGCCTGCCTCTGCCTCCCAAGTGCTGGGATTAAAGGCGTGCGCCACCACCGCCCGGCAAGGAGACGTTTTTTAAAGCTCTCACATTTACTATTGTCTCATTCTGTATGAGTGTCATTTCTCCTCATCATAGTAACCCCATTGTTATGAATAAGAAATCGAAGTTTGAGAAAAAAGCAAGCTTTAAATGATCAAACCAACAATTGTACTTGAATACAGCCGTCTCTCACGCCAAGGTTCCTCAGTGTTACTGTGTGTGATGCTATCTCCCAACATGGGAATTAAGTCACCAAAACCAAAACTGTATTATTTTCAAAAAAGGTTTTTGCTGGAAGGACAGAGCGCTGCCCTGGGGAAGGAGTGGCGTCCTGGAACGTCATCTGTCATCTGGTTTATGTTCAGAGGCTTCCAGAGTGTTTGGTCCAGCACAGCACATTCTGCTGCTGCTGAGGCTGTAGAGGGCAGTTCTGATGAGTACATTCTCCAGACCATTTCTGCTCTGCAGTTGTTAAGACAACAGTTCTTTAATCTGTATTCTCCCCTATTCAAATACGGAAGTGTTGACTTGTTTCTGATCTCACCTCTTCTGGGCAAAGGTTATAACTTCTTTGGGAGTTACTAGGGCAAGAAAACCCAACCAGCAGCTGGCAGGTGGGGGCTGAGTGATGTCAAGAGTGCACTGTGTATGTTCTACAGCTCGGAGGGATTCCAGAAGAGAATGTTAAGTGTAAGGGGTTTATCCTCTGCGTTTCAATGTATCATGCCCCAGTTGTCCAGAGGCTTCATAAGAGCCAGTGCTAATATGTTATACTGAAAATCTTCTGTGCAGCACTGAAGTCTGCCTGATATTTAAGATGTATTATCTCCTTAAATATGCAGATAAATCCTAGGAAGACAAACGTTATCCTTGGTTTTCATCTGCAGATACTAAAACTAGAGAGATGACACAATTTAAAACATTTTTTGCAGTTGTATACCTGTACACAATGTGTTGTGATCACATCCACCCCCATTGCCTTCGCTTATCCCCGGGCTCCCACTGACCCTCTGCTTCTCCCCAACAGCTCCTCTCCTGTTTTCTATCTTATTGATTGATCTGTTGGTTTTTGTTTGTTGATTGTGCTGGGAAAGGGCATGTGCTTGCCATCGCATGCTTGTGGTGGACGGAGCGTTCTGTCTTTGCTTCCACTATGTAGGTCCTGGGATGGCACTCAGGTTGTTGGGCTTTTTGGCACATGCCTTCGCCCACTGAGTCATCTCAGCAGCGCCATGGCCTTCCTTTTGTGTGCAGGTCCCCACAGCTGCTATGTGTCCTTGATGGCAGTAGCCACGTCGTATCCAGAAGATACAGCTCTGCCGTCTGTCCTCTGGCTCTTCTCCTCCTCCTCCTCCTCCTCCTCCTCCTCCTCCTCCTCCTCCTCCTCTTCCTCCTCCTCCTCCACAGCTTTCCCAGGACTTTGGAGAGTGCAATACAGATGTCCAGTTTAGGCTGAGGCCTACACTCGGTAGTCACTTTTTCTCAGCACTTTGAAAAGCCTCTGCACTGACCATTGCACACTGTAGAAAGACGCTTCTCTAACCTAGACTGAGACCAGCGCCGGCCCATGGCAGTTTGTCCACTTAGCAAAGCATCACTGGTGCATTCCGTCTAGAGCTCAGCCATAGGCTTTGCTCACGTTTATAATACCAGACCTGAATTAACCCAATCAGAGAGTGATTGATTAAACCCCAGACAGGCTTGCCCTGTTGTACAAGTGGAATATCTTGCCTGGCAGGTTGGTAGTGTACCGTAGCTTGGTAAGATACTTGATGACATTTCTCCCCCAGTGGCGTGCACAGCCCCTTCCAGAACTGTGAATGCAGCAAGCAGGGAGGAAACTTGCAGCTCGGTTCTAGCTTGCTTTCTGTTCCCTGCATCCAAAGTGTTTGATAACTTCAATAGGGTCTTACCATCTAATTCTCGTGGGAACCAAGGCCGGTGCTTATAGCTGTATTGTTTTGGGTGTTTCTAGGAACTCCCTAACCGTTACTTCTAGGGAGGTATCCTGTGCTAGCACTAGGATTTTCATTTTAAAACCTCTGTTTCCTTGGGGCTGGAGATATTGCTCTTGTGGAGGTCCTGGTTCTGATCCCCAGCACCCACACGGCAGCTCACAAGCATCTGTCACTCCAGTTCCAGGGGATCACATGCCTTGTTCTGTCCTCTACAGCACCAGGCATGCACATATGCACAGACATGCGTGTAGGCAAAACACCATGCACGTAAAATAAAAATTAAAAACAAAGTAAAACAAAAATCCTATAGCTTCTGGGAGCAGCATTACTTATATAGGGTACCTCCACTCAAACCATTATTATCATATTTTTTAGTTTCTAAAATAGTAGGTTCCCTTTTGGTTGGCCCTCTTCCCCTCCCCTATATTCTCTCTCTCCCCTCAAACCCACCACTGTTTAAACCTTTCTGCCTTTAGTAATCCTCTTTTACATTAGCTTTACTGTCTCCCACCAAAGAGTCCCCCCACATACTCACATCTACTCTGGGGGCCCCTTTCTTGCCTCCTGTCCACTATAAGTACTCACTCCACTCACTCCAACTTACAGACCTCTAAAAATTTCAAGCTAGGACTAGAGGAAACAGTTTCTTCTTTCAGGGCCTGGGTTACCACACTCGGTTTAATGATTTCTGTCCCTAAGACTCCACGAGTTTCCAACATTTTGTATCTGTTTGTCCACTTTGCAGAGTTGGGTTGGAGCCCAGAGTCTTCCTTACCCATGTGAGGCGAGTTTTTTACTGCTGTGCTGTATACCAGCCCCAGATAGAACTTTTCAAAGTAACAAACTTGCAATACCATCAAAGCCTGCCCACCTCCTTCTCTCATGCTTTGCAAAGTCCCGAGCTCTCTCCAGAATAACAGTGATAGCATAGTCAGTGCTCCTTGGTGTAGGGAGAGAAGGTGGGGAAAGAGAGAGAGGGAAATGGAGAGGGAGGGCAGGTGGGAAGGAAAGTGGAGAGAGAAATAAGGAGGGAGGGAGAGAGAACAAAAAGCCCTGTAGACGTAGGCAGAGCCTGGCTTGTGCTTGACTAGCAAGATGTTGATTGTATCTCTTCTAGGATATTATTCCAGGACGGGGAAGATTTCACTCCAGATGTGACTTTGGAACAGCCTTGAGTTCAGAGAAAGGTCAACTGATATTTGCATAGTAGGGTCAATGATAAAATGGAGTTGAAAAGAGATCATCTATTCTGACCTCCTTTTACAGGAAACTACCCCAAAGATACTGACTCATTTGACCAAGGTCACACAAGCTTTGGAAAAGCAGCAGAGGCGCATGGCCTGCTGCTTGGGTCATTCTGCTGCCCGTCCATGCCTGCTGGGAATCCTTGTCTATGTTTAATATTCCCCCTCTCTCTATTCTGTAGGTGCTTCAGAGGCTGTAGACAAGATGGAATCAACTCCATTTAATAGACGACAGTGGACTTCCCAGTCATTGAGAGTGACGGCCAAAGAACTTTCTCTTGTCAACAAGAATAAGTCATCGGCAATTGTGGAAATATTCTCCAAGTAAGTGCTGATCTTGGCCCAGTTTTACCACCTGTCAGGAAAATTGGTGAGGCAATGTCAACGGCTGGATTAAGCAGCCCTGGAGCTTGTGCAGTGCAGGGAGAAAGAATGTTGTCGTCAGGGGATTCTTCCCTATGCCGGGATTCTAGGTGTGCGCCACTAAGCCCAGTTTTCTGGTTTTTAGGTTTTTTTTTCTCCCTACTCTATAGCCTGGGTTGGTAACCTGGGACTCACTATGTATCCCAGACTGGGTTTGCATTATGAGTAAATAAATTTCTTGCCTCAGCCTCCTGAGTGCTGGGTTTCTTGGTGTAAGCCACCATGCCCTGGGGGTGGGGAAGGATCAAACCCAGAGCTCTGTACAGGCCCTCTGTCCCTGGGCCACATTTCCTGTCTGAAGAGGTTTTTTGTGGTTTTTTTTTTGTTTTTTTTTTGTTTTTTTTTGTTTTTTTTTTGGATTTTTTCGAGACAGGGTTTCTCTGTAGTTTTTGGTGCCTGTCCTGGAGCTAGCTCTTGTAGACCAGGCTGGCCTTGAACTCACAGAGATCCACCTGCCTCTGCCTCCCAAGTGCTGGGATTAAAGGCGTGCACACCACTGCCCTGCTCCATCTGAAGAGTTTAAATGTCACTTAAACTTCAGCTTATCAGTTATACTTGTAGCATTTCAAAGTGCCTGATAGGCAGCACGGTTGAGGCCTTACTGAAACGCACACACTCACTTGCTGGTTGTCTTTGCTTTTACACTAAGCCTGCAGAGACGCTGAGTGTGACCAGAGACTGTCACTCAAAAGTCCAAAACATCTGCCCTTTAAGAAAATGAGAAATGAAACATTAGCCAGCCAGGTGTGGTGACCAGCACTCAGAAGGCAGAGGCTGGGGGATCTCTGAGTGCAAGGCCAGCCTGGCTACAGAGCGAGTTTCAGGCCAGCCAGGCTACCCTGAGAAACCCTGTCTGGGGCTGCAGTTTGCCACCCCTCCACTGACCTTCAGCTTGAGGACTTTTCCTGCTCTCTCTGCATCTATCTGTATTTTTAGTGAAGATCACAGTGACTGGAGCACAGAGCTGCTGCTGTATACAGTAGGTGCTGCACACAGTAGGTGCCGCTGTACACAGTAGGTGCTACCGTACATAGTAGGTGCTGCTGTACACAGTAGGTACTACTATACACAGTAGGTGCTGTTGTATACAATAAGTGCTGTACACAGTAGGTACCACTGTACACAGTAGGTACCACTGTACACAGTAGGTACTGCTGTACACAGTAGGTGCCGTACACAGAGGTGCTGCTGTATACAGTAGGTGCTGCTGTACACAGTAGGTGCTGCACACAGTAGGTACCACTGTATACAGTGGGTGCTGCTGTACAGAGAGGTGCTGCTGCACACAGTAGGTGCTGCTGTACACAGTAGGTACTGCAGTACACAGTAGGTGCTGTGCACAGTAGGTGCTGTTGTGCACAAATGTGCTGCTGTACACAGAGGTGCTACACACGTGCTGAAGGGATGGTCCATACACCTTTACACACCAGAGAGAGCAAGCAGAGATGGTATTGGTGGGCCGAGCCCAGGACAGGTGGTGGGCTTGGTGCACTAGAGGTTTCTTAGCAGGAAGCTGCTGCTCTTATGAAAGAGAGAAAGACGTGAAGACAGTGATTCTAGGAGCTGTGTCTAGAATATAGTTAAGCATCAACAGGAAGTTTCAGTGACCTTTCCTTTGACAGCGAATCTCTCTCGTACCTGTTACGTGGCAAAGGCTGACCTCATCTCCTAAGGTGGAGTGCAGCAGGGGACAAGACTCAGGCAGCCCTACGGTTTCCTTACGCATTCTCTATTGCTGCAATTTGATGTCAAAAAATACCATTCTCACCTGAAAAGAAAACACACACATTTCAAGTAAGATATGGGAAGAAGAAAAGCTACTAAGCCCTAATCCTAGGCCTCAGGGACTTAGTTTACTTTAGACCCATCAGCTTTCCTGGGGGCTGGTAAAATGGCTCAGCAGGCCATCCACCCTAACAATCTGAGTTCAAGCCCCAGGACCCTAATAGTGGAAGGAGAAAACAATTCCCGCAAGTTGTCCTCTGCCCTGGAGGTGCGGTGTGCGTGCACACAAAACAAACAAACAAAAACAACTAAGAAATAGAATGTAAAAAAAAAAATTAAAGAGCATTTCTTTTAGAGTAGTTACTACATTCCAGTTCTGTCTTAAAAAAAAATAAAAGTCCTGATATACATGGTGGTACACATGCTATACTCCCAGACGCAGGAGGCTGAGGCAGAAGGATCACTATTTTGAGGTAACACATTAGCTATATAGTGAGACCATGTCTGAAAACCTACAACTCATGGCCTAGTGTCAGAGATCTGTATTCCCAAGTATTTGGGAGTCTGAGGCAGGAGGATTGCAGCTTCAAGGCCTGCCTGGGCTACAGAGTGAGTTTAAGACCAATATGAACAACTTATTGAGACCCAACAAAATAAATAAGCTGGGCACGGTGGTGCAGGCTGGGCACGGTGGTGCAGGGTGCCGGTGGTGCAGGCTGGGCACGGTGGTGCAGGCCTTTAATCCAGCACTTGGGAGGCAGAGACAGAAGGATCTCTACAAGTCCAAGGCCAGACAGATTTACAGAAAGAATTCCAGAGCAGGGGCTGGAGAGATGGCTCAGTAGTTAAGAGCACTAACCGCTCTTCCAGAGGATCTGGATTCAATTCCTAGCACCCACATGGCAGTTTACAATCACCTATAACTCTAGTTCCAGGGCATCTAATACCCTCTATTGGCCTCCACCAGCACCAGGCAAACACGTTGTACACAGACATACATGTAGACAAAAATAGCCATACACATAAAATAAATTTAAAAATAAGAATTCCAGACCAGCCAGTGCTTCATCCTTCTAGGAGCATAACTCAGCAGGGCATGTTTGCCTGCCGTGTGCAGCCTCACTAAATCTCTAAAACTTAGAGGCATAAAATAGTGAATCAATAGCCGGGCGGTGGTGGCGCACGCCTTTAATCCCAGCACTCGGGAGGCAGAGGCAGGCGGATCTCTGTGAGTTCGAGACCAGCCTGGTCTACAGAGCTAGTTCCAGGACAGGCTCCAAAGCCACAGAGAAACCCTGTCTCGAAAAACCAAAAAAAAAAAAAAAAAATAGTGAATCAATGACAGCCTTTTATAACTGTCTGATTTGTGCGCGCCTCTTCTCAGCTTAGCATTAGGGAGGAGACTCACAAACTGGGGGCTGCAGACATCTGGAAGCTCACGCACAAATCAGGAAATTGATGCTGGCTGTCACCTGGGATCTTAGCAACACCTACACACAGCGAGTTTATGTGATTATTTGGCTTGGTGGCTGGGTTCCAAAGGCAAGCTTCCAGAGAAGAAGGAAAGGACTACAAGGTGCCGCTTTGCCTGCTCATGACCTTAGCCTGGGACGATCATGTTGGCCATATTCTCAGATGTGAGTCGCTAAGGCCGACCCGTATTCCACAGGAAGGGGTGTGGAATTTGGCTCCATCTTCTGAATATTTGGAATCTTTGAGCCTTTCTTTTGAGACAGCGTCTTAGACCTCAACTCGCTTTCACCTGTCTCTGCTTCCCAGATGCTAAGGTGCAATACGTCCCCACCTGGCTCTTGTTCCTTTTCCTTTAAATCCTATGGCTTGAACCCCAGGACTTGTTCATTCCAGGCAAGCATTCTACCACTGAGCTACAACCCCAGTTCCCTTGAACATGGTTTTTGGAGACAGGGTTTCTCTGTGTAGTCCCTGCTATCCTTGAACTCACTGCAGATATCCGCTGGCCTCTGCCTCCTGAGTGCTTGGATTCAAGGCGTGCGCCACCACCGCCAGCACCAGCTTCACCATGCTTTACACCATCTTCTGCAGGCTTCCCTGGCCTTTCCAAAGATTCTACTTCTGTGTGTCTACAATGGGGCCCAACTACTTCAGGGAGATTTCTTTTGCTGAGTTAGAGACCCTTCCAGCTCAGACTAGCCTGGAACTTGCTGTGTAGCCGAGGATAAACCTGGAATTCCTGCCTCTACTTCTTGACCCAAGTGATCCCTCCCTGGGGTGGGGGTGGTGGTCGGTTGAGCAGTCACTGATAGCAGAGGAGGAGGACTTGTGAAGTAAGACCTGAACACAGACAAAGTGGATAAGGGGAGGTGTGATGGAGGGAGCAGGGAGGCAAGCAATCTGTCACGGCAAAACCAGAACAGGAAGGGACTGGTATAATTCAGTTAGCCAGATGGTAGGCATGGGCGCTGTGCTGCAGTTAGGGTTTAGTTAAATTACCAACAAAATGCAATGGAAAGTTTCCATGCAGGGAGACCGACTTGATGAGACTTGTACTTCCTAAAGATGCTTCTGACAACAGCGTGGAAGGTTTATTAGGAAGGTGAGAGATGGGAACATGAACAGTTAATGGGGCTCTCGTGGGAACCCAAGTGAGAGCTGTTGGGAGCGGGTGGGGGGCCACAGGAATGGGAAGAAAGAAAAGGCATGTGAGACAGCAAGGAGCTGTGATTAATGGGCCTTGGAAACCTCTGTCCTGCCCAGAAACTGCTCCCCGTTTTACCTTTCCACTGACTGAGCCCCACCTGAGCTGCACTCGGCTTTCCCGTGAATGCTGGCGGGCTTTCCCGTGAATGCTGGCGGGCTTTCTCGTGACTTGCCTACTCTCTCTGCACATGTGTCCCTGAAGTGCTCTGGGATCAGGAGTCACAATGGCTGCTCTTCTGCACTGCCAGTACCGGCTCCATCCTTGGTCATATCTGGTTCTGAAGTCCTAAGCCTGTGCTTTGAGGCCTGCATCTTACCAAGCCCCCAGCAACCTGCCCGCTTCCCTGCAGTGTGTGCCAGACTCCCTGCATCTTACCGAGCCCCCAGCAACCTGCCCGCTTCCCTACAGTGTGTGCCAGACTCCAAGAAAGTTCCTTGTCTTCAGTGGAGCCCTTAGCTCCTAGCTTACTTTCCTTTTAGCTCATTGAGAGAATGAC